ATGGGAATGGGATCCCAAAATCCAGGGAATGGGATCGGGATCCCAAAATCCATGGGAAATGGGAATGGGATCATGGAATCCCCAGGGAAATATTTGGGATCGACTCCAGATGACCCCAATTTTTATGGGAATGACAAAGGAACATCCTCAGATTTTTTGGGATCAACTCAAGATGACCCCAAAATTTACGAGATCAAGTCAGGATCATCCCAAAATTTCTGGGAATGACAAGAATGACCCCAATTTTTTGGGATCAACTCAAAATGACCCCGAAATTTACGGGACCAACTCAAAATGACCCAAATTTTTTGGGGACCAACTCAAAATGATCCCGAAATTTAAGGGATCAACTCAAAATGACCCCGAAATTTACGGGACCAACTCAAGATGACCCAAAATTTTTGGGGACCAACTCAAAATGACCCAAAATTTTTGGGGATCAACTCAAAATTACCCCAAATTTAAGGGATCAACTGAAGATGACCCTGAAATTTCTGGGACCAACTCAAAATGTGCCAAAATTTTTGGGGATCAACTCAAAATTACCCCAAATTTAAGGGATCAACTGAAGATGACCCTGAAATTTCTGGGACCAACTCAAAATGTGCCAAAATTTTTGGGGACCAACTCAAAATGACCCCGAAATTTACGGGACCAACTCAAAATGACCCAAAATTTTTGGGGACCAACTCAAAATGACCCCAAATTTAAGGGATCAACTCAAGATGATCCCAACATTTACAGGACCGACCCAACCCAACCCCAAGACCTTTGGGCCGGCCCCGATTCCCCAACTTTTCCACCCAAACCCGGGTGGAAAATCCCGTTTGGGAGCCCAAACCGGACGGAACGTGCATTTTTTTTGGGGTGAAAATGGGAAATTTTGGGCCGACCTGGGGCGCAGGGGACGCAGAGGCCGCGCGCGTCGCGGAGCAGCTCCAGCGAGTCGGGCCGCACGCGCAGCAGGCGCACCGGGTACACGCTGGGCAGCAGGCGGCTGGTGAACCCGCAGGCGCCCACCTGAGGGGGAAAGGGGGGTTATTGCCCAAAAATGGGGGGTTAAAAAAAAATGGGGAGAATCGGGGGAGGAACGGGGGGATTGGAGAAAAAATGGGGGAATTCGGCGGGGAAATGGGCAAAAGAATGGGGGGAATGGCTGAA